TCGGTTCCCGGTACCGGAGAAAAACCAAAAAAAAAAAAAAAGAAGAGGGATAAAATATAATAACCTTACATTTTGGTTCAGAAAACTATTTAAAATGATAACGATGTCTGTCCTCTACTGTGTCACCTACAAAGCTATAAAAATCATAGCAGCTGTTTCACTGGAAAGGCTAAGAAAGCAATGAAACATAGTGAAAATTATGCAATTATACATAGTATTCCAGTCTTCCCCTGGGGGGCTGATAGTTCACAGACAACCTTGTCTTATTCTCAGCCTCACCTACAGACAGCTCTACCACACTTCCTCTGGGGGTTCTACTCTTCAGGGCCACGAAGTAGTCAGGGCTTCCCTGCTTCATAGGTAGGTTACTTTCCTAACTTCATCTCCTTCCTGTTATTGCCTGTTGGCTGAAAAGAAGTCTTCTTATTGACCACTGTTCTCCTTTTGTCACTTCACTCTCATCTTCAGGACGTATTTCTGTTTGCTCCTTATTGCCAACCAAATCCAAATTGTGCTGGCAGCTTTCAAAGCTCTCTGACTGACTTAACTTGCTCTTCAGTTATTTCCTGTCACATCCCCACTCTTCTCTAAGAAACAGTTTGCTGCTCCTACTGTTCTTTGTACTCCTGTGCTTTTGCATATTCTGTCTTGATATTTTAATGAGAGATTATTGTACCACGTTAGGGTCTGGGTTATGACACAGAGTCATCCCTTAAGCTATGTACGAGGTGCTGTATATGACAGGGACAAAAGTCTGCAGCACTGTGTGATACACGCAGTTACAGACTTACTAACGAGTGCGCAGCGTAACGAGGTACAGAGAAGAATAAATACGATAAATTTACAACATCATACTGTTAATATAAGAAGGGCTACATTGGTCTCTAAGTTCCATGAAGAACTTTCTTCTTATTATGTTATATACTTAAAAGGGTAGGTTGAATACATTCATACTGAACATGCTGTCAGATTCTTCTGAAGGGTGGAATTATCCCTGAAATTTCATTCTACAGAGATTACATTGTGGAAGTAGATTTGTTTTTCTAAGGGTAAAATTGCCAGCATGTTGCCATTGATACTGCAATAGAGCAGGAGCAAGAAAAGCTAGTCCTGGCATGTCTCTAATAAGCCAAGTGACTTAGAATGCCTCACTCGATGTCACCATTTCTTTTCTAAAATGAATAAATCAGGCTAGATGTCCCCAACTTCTGCAATTCTTATAATCCATAACTGTCTGTGTTGGCGTTCATTCATTGCTTCACTGGACACATTAATAGAACCTACAGAGTGTACGCCACTAGAGCTTGTGAATTGTTTATGTTATAGACATTCAGATGTCATCGTTTCTAGCAGGAGCTGGATGCTTTGACAGCGAGAATCAACAAAAGTGCTAAGCACCTAAGGTTAGTGCATTGTGATTTACTTCCCTACTTCGCTAAGCCCTGGAGACATCAGCCTGGGTAGCCAGGAATGGCAGCTCTTTGAGCATTCCCCTGGTCACACAGGCAGTCAGGAATCCTCATCACGCTCGGCATGTTTGTGGACAGTGAGGCTCTGGAGTGACTGAGTGAAGATTGAGACAGAGCTAACCTGACAGCCTGAGAGCTTAAAAGCATCGATTGGGGGCTGTGCAAGAATTTGACCTTCCAACTACCTCCATGTTGTGGTTTTGTTTCCTGTAATGGAAGTTAAAAAAAAGAGAAACTATTTTTCCATGTTTGCTAGTGATTATTCTATCAATCCAATAAAGGACATGAATTAATAAGTACCTATGAGTATAATTTTAAGACTCTCACACACTAGGGACTGAAGTGATGCAGATACAGTCTGGAGACTGCATTCCATGAGTGTCCACAGCTCTACATTAATCAGCCTTGAAAGAGCCAATTTCTCATGAGAGAGAAGCACGGAGCATTTTGTGCCTACTTACAGGAATGCCCATTGGCAGGTATGCATATTGCACTTCTTAATTAGATGACAAAGCAGCCTCATATATGGTAGTCGGTGCTAATGAAAATTTACGTGAGAAACCAAAGGGAATTAAATAGATGTGAAGATTACCATTTTGCACTTTATCTTTCTATTTGTGGTAATAAAAAGGTGTGAATTGAAAAATCTAAAGAAAAATAACACGTGATTTATTTTTAGAAATGAAATACACTAAGCAAGAAGTCATGCTCATAAATACAAAAAGTACCCTAGTGTTTCATTTTGACAATATGCAACAACGACAGACATAAAATTTATTTATCACTCCGGAGTCCTGATGAATAGAGTGTAAAATGTTTACAATTCATGTTAGTTTTTCACTTTTTTTAAATAATTAAATTCATATTGTTTAAAGTAAATAACGGTAATGCTACAGCTTTTCAGTTTGTTATTAGAGATATGAATATAAAAGAAGAGATAACCACGAGGAAGAGAACTCAACAGTTTATTGTTATTTACCACTTACAGTTTTTTAGACATCATTTATAATTGGCCAAGTTTATCAAATTTGCTCTAATAAGTCAACTGCTCCCAAAATCTCACGAACCCTAATAATTCCGTTGAATTTAAGTGTTCTTCTGTCTTCTACTCTTTGTTTTCCTTCTCAAATACACTTGAGAAGATGTGATACTTTGTTTAGTGGAAAATACTTGCAACTTTGTGTTTTTTTGTTTCTTTGTTTGTTTGTTTTTCTCGGGTACCGGGAACCGAACCCACGCCCTTGCACTTGCCAGGCAGGCGCTTTGCCGCTGAGCTAAATCCCCAGCCCGCAACTCTGTTTAATCTTTCTTTTAAAAGTAGAAATCGCAAGATAATAAAAGGAGTCTTTCAGTTGAAAACACAAAAGACTTTTGTTAACATATACAAAAAGCCTAGATTTATATTAATAATGTTAATAATAAAATTTTTGAATTCTGTGAATGTTTCTGATCATTTTTTTATTTATTTATTAACTTGTTAACTAATTCATTACTTAGCTAATTCTTTATTTTGTGAAAAAATTTCACTGAGAATTTCCTAAGTATTTTCCCTTATTTTGCCATTCAAAATTAAAACAGTCAGCACTTCTATGTTTTATTTGTATGCAAATGCATATGCACGTATTTCTTAGGCCTTCCAAAATGACACAGTTCTCTAAAGAATAATCTCAATTTCTTTTTCTTTTATTTCTTTTATTACCTTTTTTCCCTGTGCTAGAGATCGAACCCAGAGTTTTGCACATGCTAGGTAACTGCTCTGACATTCAGCCACTTTTCTAGTCCCATCCAATTACCTATTAATAATTTTCATGGACATCTCAATCGCCACAGTACCCGGTAATTTTATGTTTAACAAACTTTTAATCCTTGCTTAGAATAATCGAGTTGACCAAATCATATTTAATTGGCATGTCTTTGTTTATAATCACTCTTTTAAAAAGAAAACAGTGTCAATGACATTTAAACAATACTAATACATAAAATTATTTGTTTAAAAAATGCCAATAGTATCAGAAAGTACAATTCTTCATTTAAAAAATAACTTATTCTCTAAAGGAAAAGAAAGAATAGAGTTTAGAACCATTGATTGACCCTTTATATTGCAGTAGTCAGTGTAAACTTTGTTTATTTGACTACTTTTTGTTATTATTGCACCATAAATAATAGATATCTCATATGTTTATAAACATATGAGAAAAAAATTGGTTTACTGTGAAGGTGTCACCAACTTTACGAAGGAATATATGCCACCATATGACCATCCTTTATGGGACATCATTTTTGCATTTATGAAATTCAACACCTGTTTAATATAATTCTATATATTCATATTATTTATATTTCTACCTATTCATCTGTGTAACTTGTATACCAAACATGATGGGCACCAAGCAACCAGTGAAAGGTAAAAGAATTATAGAATGTGAGCTAACTGTAAATACACCAAAACCTGCTGAACTGATGACCACAGTAAGGCCTGACTTACCATAGCAATCAGTTTTACAACATGTGATAGTAAAAAAGAACAAGGAGGCAACCCTGCACTGGTTTTGAGAGATAATACTGTACTTTATTCTTCTTTGCATGCCCTAGAACAACTAGCTCTGTTTACACATAACAGTTTTTTAAAAGTGTATATTGGATAATTTCATGACCGTGAAAGAGTAATAGGTAACATGACTTATGGAATAAAGAGAAACAAATAGTTGAAGAGAGGGACAGAAGATGATAAAAAAAAAGTCTGTTCCACAGTAATTTCTCATTGATGATGATGCTACTTCTCTGTTGCCTGATTAGCAGGGAAAGTCTGATCTGCTTTCTGCAGGCAGCTTATTGATTGTGCGGGTCGATGTAATCTGATGCATAAAGAACCAAGGAAGTGGGTGGTAGCATTTTGCTAGATAACTGCTAAGCAGTAGATAGTTTACATTTGATGCACCCATGCTGAGTGACCTCACATGAAGGCGAACGATTAGCAGAAGAAATCCTAAAACTGACAAGTCTTTCATTCATCAGTAGGTCTACTATTAGTGAAAAATTAGTTATGTTTAAAGAAAAGTGAAAATAATTTGAAGATCCACTAAATCTGTATGGGTACAAGATAGATATGCCTTTCTTTTTTGTCCAATACATCATGCTGCATACGTGCATAAGAGAATCTAGTTGCATGGTTTCACATTACAGTGGGTCTTGGTTTCACGCTCCTTAGACAATCCAACTATTTTATTGCTAGCTACTGCTCTTACTGCAATCAAATCAAAGTTATTAGCTTGGAAAGGACACAGCCAATAAAATGACACCCTTAATGCAAAATTTCCAACCCAAACAAACAAAAATCCAGGAAAGTAAACAAAAATTGCCATCATTTAATCTATAAAACAAAAATATTGTTTAAGAAGAGAATGATTCTATTGGGTAAAAAGTTGTTTGATTTAATGTTAGTTTTAATATGACCAACACTGCTGCTAGCACAAATTAGACATAAGCTGCTGGTTTCCGTCCCTCTACCCTAGGAGAGGATGTGAATGTTACCTGCCAGAGAGGGTCTCTCTGCTCAGGAAAGAGCTCAAAGTACTTGTGGGCCAGCTGCACTGGAGGCAGAGTCTGAAGACGCAAGTTGGTCCAGCTGTGCACAAAGTTGGCCAAGTTCACAAAGGTGTACAACCCTAGGCGGTCATTCCCATAGTTAGATAAATGAGTCATGAAAATGCTGATCTGAAAGACAGATAAAAATGACCACACAACAGCATACGCTTAAGCTTAATAGTGACCGTGTAAACTCCAGAGAGCGCATCATTTAAATCTGGAACTGTACGATTCAATTATTTAAAGGTGGAAAACCACATATCTAATCCTGAAATCAGAATAGCACATACACTCACTCTTAAAACTGACATTGACATTGGATTAGTGAAGAACCTGAATTAAATGAGTCTCGATATTGTACAGTTATTCCAGCTTTTTTCTAACGTAGATGTACACAGAAGTGGGAGTAAAGTGGAATCAAACTTGAGAAAATTTCTTTCTTTGTGGTCTCATAAAGTTATTTTTTTTACTTAATAAATGATTTTGAATGCTATCACTATAAAGAAATTCTGAATCTTTGAGGAGATAGATATATTTAACTAGATTTCAACATTATCCAGTGTATCAAAACATCATGTACGTCCCCACTAATATTTATAATTTGTTTTGTTTTGATGTATTAATTAAAAAATGAACATACGTTACAAAACTGTCAGCATTTGTACAGAAACTGATTTCTGTTGTCTCGTAAATTTTCTATGCTCATTAATCCCCTTACAACTTTTAATATCTTACTGTTGTCAAATATAAACATTTTAAACTCATTTTTCTACTTACTACACAAATATTTCAGAGCAACCCAAGTATTACGACGGAGTACTTTATTAACTTTATTGTTATAGTAAGAGTAACACAATGTTATAAATAACAATACAAGAACAAATGTCACATTTGAAACTGAAGAGTAAAGTAACATTGAAGTAAAGTCAGACATCACCTGGCTATTGTTTTATGTGGATGTTCCTTCACTCTTCTATTTTTAAAGTGATTATGTTGCTTGATGTGGTAATTTGGATTATTTGTAAATAAGGGTGTGCAGCAACTATTTTAATATAATCTTCATCACAGCCTGCTTAGAACAGTAGCCATGCAGGAAACGTTCCACTCCAGATCTTTGGTACCCAAGATTGTCATCAGATAACTGGAAATGCCCAGAGAAGGGGTCTTCATCTTAAAAACAATAAAAGCACTACCATCTACTGCAATTTAACAAACAGTACTCTGGCCAGAAAGGACAAGTTAAAGATACCAGGTTGACAGTTGGAATGCCCTTTTTATTTTGGAAAAGACATTGTCTTTCTGCGCGTCACACTACAATACTGAAAAAGATTCTAAAGAAAAAAATTATTAAAATTCCATGTATTGCATTGTCTCCCTGGTGTGAGAAACTGAGAGAGTAAGTAAGTACCAAAATGGACAATAGATATTGTGAAATAGGAAGAAATTGTTCAGAAGGAAAATAGGATAGAGGAAACAGGAAAGGAAAGAAGAGAAAAGGAAAACAAAAACCAAAAACGGGTAAAATGGAAGCAAAGCTTTGTAAATAGGGAGGGGAAATGGGTTGAAGGGAGGAGGGGGGATTGGGAAAAAAAAGGAATCAAAATATATCACGTACATATTCCCTATGATGAATATGATCATTATGTATATCTAAAATGTACCAACAAACTTAATTTAAAAAGTATTAAAATTATTAGTGAACCCTCACAATGGTTGAAAGTAGAGAGGATGAAGACTTGGACCACTGCTCTCAATTTCTCTGAATTACAATAATACCTTATATGGCACTTACTATGTGCTAGGCAAGACTCTAAGTGTTTCACATATAAAGATAATTAAATGTTCTTGACGCTCTCACAAGGTAGCTACTGTTGCTGTTCTCTTTACAGAAGAAGAAATTGCTTCACAAAGCATTCAGTAACTTGCCCAAGTGCATATCTAGTCAGCGACTCACAAGTTTAAATGTAAGAAGTCAGATTTCCTGATCTAATGCCTAGTACGTGCTGACCCAAACGTTTTTATATATAGAATTTTACATTCATCTTTTTCCTTAAGAAAGATGAACATACTTCTATAGAGAAAGTAGAAAGCCTATGGGCTCATTGTATCACCAATTTATAGTATTTATATTTCTTTAAAATAGAATGAGAAAAGATAAATTAATTTTGGAATTTTGAATGAAAACTTACATTAAGACTGTAATAGTGTTTGAAAAATACCAATGATAGACTGAATATTTAGCATTAAAGAGCTTATCATTGCTGTTATGCTTCTTGTCCATTTTTATTACATATATTTAAAGCTTTATAATTGAAAAATAAAAAAGAAAGACTACATTTTAAATATTATTCTTTACATGGCTTGTTTAGGCAGAAATTGAAACTAAATCTCTCAAATGCTGACAGAATGGTCTTCTCTGAGATTCATATGATCATTGCAAAAGCTCAGGATATCTGTGCCACTTATTTTGTTCCTTGGCCAATGTCTCAGTCTTATGCTCTTTTGTCTCAGATAGGAAGTGTTCTCGTGGCCAGACTTAACTGCAGAGGTTTTAGAACATAACTTGGTATCAATAGTTGATGACCATATAATTGCAATTGTTGTCATGATAACTTCTTTTTAATCGCCACAAAATAATATGCATTTGATCCCACTAATCACACACTTATCTCATGTCGCTACCGTAATTAGGAAATAAGACAGTGTAAGTAGTGAGCATCAAGATAATTGCAGTTTCTCAGGACTGAAGTTATTATGAAAACAAGAGGCAGCACCCCGAGTGCCTGAGGAGATATAATAATGTCCCAGAAATCTACCACCTACCCCCTAGTTGTTATTTTAAGATAGAATTTCAGACATCTCTGAGTGCTTAAAGTGTGACAAAATTACAGATAAAAATCTACTCTGAGCGTGTAAAAATTATGTGCATATTATAGGTATACTATCATTTCATTAGAGTATTAACATAATGACTAATAGATTTTTGCAGCAGACTAGTTCTAGGTAATTTTTCAAGAATTTTCTTAGGAGAATAAGCCTTGTTTTATGAGGAAGTATAAAACTTTATGCAGGGCAAATGGTAACATCTGCCTTTGGGAGAAAGCAGTGTCTGGAGGTGGTGTGTGGTTTCTAGCCAAGGCATGCTGCTGCATTTAAATTTCTCTTTGCTGAGGACATCGTGAGCCGCCTGGTCAGGACAGTTGCAGTCGCTGCTGTATGGGGCAGCTGTGCACATGCCTTACTGGTTAGAAACAAATTAGTGCTGGTGTATGGTCAATTGACTGCACTTTAAGAAAAACAATTCTGCAAGCACAGCTTAACTGTGCATATCTGGCTTGCTAAAAGCACCAATTGTGCAGACAGAGCATTTTAGTTTTACTATTTCTGGGTAAATGGATTGTTTAAAATAAAAACCTATTTCAGAGAGTGTAAGGAGACAAATTAAAAGTAGATTTGGTTTGAGGCCTAAGTAAGGGAAATCACAGGATACGCACCATGAAATAGAGTAAATAGTTACTTTTTCACGAACTACAATATAGAGCTACTTTTCTTGTGCCGTGACAGCGCATGTTCCTCGGTTTATCCTGTCCCTGGTTTACTTAATCTGATTTTTATTTTCTTACTGTATACTTTTGCTCAATATTCTCCAAAGTATCACATGGGGAAAACATAGCTGTGCCAAATGGGTGCAAACTATTTATAGATGCAACTCTCTGGACCTTGAAATAGCCCAGTTCAGAGGTACGCATTGATTCAGGTAAGCAGAGTTGTCTTTCTTATAGAAAGACAGGGAAGGACATCTCATTGAAGAGATTTCATTCAGAATGAGATACCAAGTGCTAAGATCACCAAGCCAAGTATGGGTGGCCTTGCTTCTGCCATCAAGCTTCCCCCTGGGCTGCCTTTATCTGGTCTTTAGCACTCGTACATATGTTCCTCCCTCAGTTCTCGGGCCCTCTACTCTGCCATAACAAACATAAACTATTCTCAATTTTTCCTTTCATCTGTTCTACTCATATAAGAGCACACTTACGAGTATTCTCATAAGCTAGTAATTCATTAGAAACACAAAGTTGTTCATTAACCTGATTTCCAGACATAATACACATTACATCAAATTTGGAAAGATATAACCTGTGGAAGAGATCCATTTAATGATGCACCTATAGTACAAAGTAAAGAGAAGTCGTAGAAAAGGTGATGTATAAATCTTCATAATAGGGAACTGAGTAAATGCACTTAAACTCTGTGGATAATCCTAAGGATAAAAGCATGGCCATCACAACAAACAGGACACTGGTAAATGAACGTGGCTCACTGGCCCTCCCTCAGCTTTCACTAACGTTGACACAGTTGCTGTTGATAACCTTTTGTTTTTGCTTTTTGGGTGAAGTTGCTAATAAGCAAAATAGAAGAAGGGAAGAAAATGAAGCAAAAGTCAAAAACCTCATTTTCTCTACACTGAGTTCAAATACTTTTATTGTCAACACCAGAATGGTTTCTTTGCTCTTCCTATTTTCATCACGAATGCAATATGATTGTAAATTGCAGAATATATTAAACAGAATATATTAAACAGTATTTTAGATTAGAATTTAAAATCGCCTTTCAAGGCTGTATTTTTAGCTAAAACACACATTAAATATTTGAATATTTAGTTTGGTGTGTCATATTGCTGAAAATCAAATCATTTGCAGAGCCGCAGGTCTGTGGCTCACAGGACAGCACAGTGAGAATACAGAGGAGCAGTGCTGTGCTGAGCAGGAGCGGGTCCACCCCGCTGTGACCAGCTTGCTCTGTGCTTCTACCGTAACACAGTATTTTTCAAGCTAAGCATTGAACATTAGCAGTCAGTTTCCACTTCTGCCTCTGCGGCTCTGACAGTGCGTCCCTTTTCAGCCCATTGTGCTTAAAAATGTGTCCATTAACTTGTTACATTATTGATTAGGCTTTTAGTTCTCATAAAATGGGAAGACAGATGAATATAGGCGAAGGTGTCCCTGATGGTTCATCTGATGGGCTTTGGCATATTTTTCATATGAAAGGTAATTTGAGTCTTTCTTTTATTTTGATATGGCTGGAACCACACAAAAGACAGTAAGACCGTACTCAAAATTACCAATTTGAAT